TGGACGTGGATGCTCTTAGTACCCATAATACACAAACTCAAATGCATAACAAAGTTTCACAACCATGAAAATAACAAACACAAGCCATGAAATTCAAACCTTATGGAAACAATCGGAGCTCATGATTCCTGCAGCGATAATGGTGATGCATTCCAGGTCAGGAAGGATGTCATGAAGTGCTTCGACGATGTTGATGTCTCATTGGAGGGCACTACTGCACGACTACAAGAATGATGATGGGATTGCAAGGATGATGGTGTTTCGCACGGAGGAGAGTTTGCGGCTGCATCGCATGGAGGAGAAGTCGTTGGATGGTACTGGATCGCCTATGCGTCAAGTGCAGCGTGCTCGAAGATGCATGGATTTCGGAAGTGTGGTTGGAGTTTCCAACGGTTTGGGCAGCTCTGCAGAGTGGTGGATGCATGATGGTCGTTTATTGGGCATCTGATGGCGACGAGTGCTCTGTTCAGAATTCTATTATTCTTTCATCTTCTCTTTGCAAAACAAAGTTTTTGTATAAGTTGTTGTGTTGTGAATTTTTCAATTGGAATTTGTTGAATGGTGTTTTACAGGTTGCTGTAAGATGCGCTTATGGTTATGCAGGATTTATATTGTCTTGTTAATGCGATTTATGTTGAAAGCTCTATTGTGTAACTTATTTGGTTTCAGTGAAACTTAGCCATGGTGGTTTGTTAGTAAATCATGTGCATGTTTTTTGGTAGGAATTGTTTTAACAATTTTGGTTATTAGTGAAACTATGATGGATTTATACATGGAAGAATGGTTTATGTTATTTGTACTCTCACTGTTAGAAACAAATGTGGTGCAAAGGGTTCCTCGATGAAAAACTGTGTAATAAAATTAGTATACTGAATCAAAAGAGCCTTTTTTTAATGTGTGGAAATATGTACAAGGTACAAGGTTTTAAAAAGCTTTTGTAAGAAAATGTGTAGAAACTATGTGTTATTGTCAATCCTACTGTACGCCTTTTTATGTGAGTATGAAGTGTGAATTGTGAATGGAATTCTTACTGTAAAAGAAAGAAACTGTGAAAAAGAGTTTTGCAAGTGTGAATCGTGGGTACTTGAAAGCTAGTGGAATAAGGGTTAGAAAATTGGCTTCCTCAAAAGTGTAGGAAATGTTCTCTTTATATAGTGTACGAAATTAGGTTAAAATCATTAAAAGAGAAATAAACTCAAATAAAAAATAATATTAGATCTTTCTGATTTTCCTTGGTCAGCAAGCCGACGCATTTCGACCAATCAGATGCTAATATGACACTACATGACCAATAGAAAACAACTATGACAAAAATGGAAAATATTTACTTCTTTTTTTGAATTTTTTTCACTCTTTCAACTAAAAAGTGCATAAAATAAACTAAAAATAATTATTAAAAAGTGCCTAAAATAGAAAAACGAAAATTAAATTTAAATAATAAAAAAAATACAATTTTGTGAGTTTTTGAATAAAAATAAAAAATAAAATTAGAAACAAATAAAAGAAGAGAAAATGTCAAAAATGTGGGATTCAAACCGCTACCTTGTGCTTGCAAGCTCTTTTAAACATGCTCTCTTGCCAATTGTACCATTTCATTTATTCAAAATAAAATATCACAAAAAGACTCATAATGGTAAAGTGTCAGGAAAAAATTGCGGTATGACACATAACTTTATATTTAGTCATTTATGCGTTATTAAATAACAACAAAATGCATCATATATGGACAACAACTTTCTATTTAATATACAAAAATAAGATTAGAGAAAAGTGGAATAAAAAACATAAAATAGTAGCATAAAATAATATCAAAAAACTTATAATGAAACAAAAAAACAGAGGAGATGAAATATTAGAAAAGATGAAAATGAAAGAGCAAAAGAGATGGGAGATTAGAGAATAAGGTGTGCATTAAACGTAATTGGAAGAGAGAACAATAGAATGAAAATAAGAAGATGAAAAAGAAAGAACATAAGAGATGTGATACTAGAGAAGAAGGTGCGAGATGTACATGGAAAAAATGAGAAGAAAATGTGATACCGCTATGAGAGATTTGAGAAGACTTAAACTGAAACCTTAAGTGTGAGGAAGAGAAAATCATTAGTAATAGTAAGGTTAGGGCATAATAGGTTTGGGTTTGGGTTGGATATGTGTTAAGTAAAGTTTTGATTGTAACAAAATGCGGTTTGGTTTCATTTGTAAAATACAAACCGCACATCGAACCAAGTCACATAGTTTTGTTAAAAAATGACCGAAACACATTTGAACCAAATGCATTTTTTACAATTTGGATTGATTAGTGGTTTTCTATTGGGATAATTCAGTTTTAAACACTTCTACTTATAATGTCCAAACCTACCATATGTCAAATATAGTAGATGAAGCCCCTCATATTCCACTTTATAATGTCTTCCCTTAATTGAGAATATTGCCAAAAGTGGTTTGGTAAAGTCAACTTGGATACAAAGCCTGGCATATTTTACTCTCTCTCGATAGCGTACTCCTATATTTCTTTACTGTTTGCCCTATTTGGTCATCACTAAATGTGAGAACTCTGCCATCATAATACTATATTGGAAGAACCAAAACACTTACCCACATTGCAACTTGAACAATAACATCATTATTAGGACATGGATTTTGGTTCCATTATCATATTGACATATAATGATCATATATAAGCCAATGTCATTTTGTGAGGGCAATATATTGGTCCTCCTCACTAGTGAAGGTGTCTAGGTAATAATCTTGCCCCAGGTCCATAATAGTGGTTGCTCTCTTTCTTATCCACATTTGACTGTCGCTTTTCAAGAGCTTTGTATCTAATTTTCCTTATAAGCATTTTTACTATCACACATTTTCTCCATGGTTTTGTTATTCTCCTCTCCTCCAATTCTAAAAGTATGAACTCGGGACATTCATACTCTCTAAATTTCCTTTCTTTTATCCTTAAGCCATCAACTATGATCTCACTGTCTGAATCTTCAAAGATTTGATCTTATTTAGTATTACCATCTTCACAAATTTGCGTATATTCGGTAATTACATCCTCCAACGTTGCAGTTTTCTCACGATCATTGCCATTTTTTGGAGCTGGTATTACTACTTCTTGCAGTTTCTCATGAACAAAATGGTAATACCCTAGATCATCGTAGGTAATAAGGATCAATAAACCTGATTGATATGACCGTTCTCCTCCTTTGACTTGTTTGATATTCCGATTCTTCATCTCGTCTTCCTCATCCCAGTTCTTCTGGTTGTCGCATGCAAACCTTATAGGAGCACTTGTCGTCATTGTGTATACTCTTTCTTTTTATTTAAACACAAAAGTAATTAGTTTTTTTGAAATATAAAATCAATTTTTAATAAAAGAATTCAACATATCTAAAATTCGATTACTAATATGAAAATTTCTCAATGTTTAAATTGTAAATATGTTTTTTACCTTACAACAAATATTCTTACTATATTTTTAACCTATCATTTCAAAGATTTGAGAAAAATTATGTGTACACATAATTTATTATATATTTTATACAAGAGAATTGAATTTATGTTTAAATTACATGTATGCGAACTTAGGTTGCATTAAAGACAATACTATCAAACATGTTTTTTTGTTTTGAATTTTTTTTAATGAATTTTTATAGTTTTAAACAAGTCCGTCTTTGAAGATGTGCAAAATGACTACCGTGTCTCAAAATTTTCAAAGTTAACTTGTGATTAAATAAAACCTCATAAAATATTTATCACATTAAATTATTATTATATAAGATTTTTATTTATTTGTCCTTGTTAAATTATAATTAGATTACACATAACCTCTAAAAACTTGAGACAAATCTGATTTTAAAATATAAATATTTACATTTAACAACATCATTGTAATAACCTTAATTCACTGTTGCTATTAATTTAATATATATGTTAAGTGAAATCAAAATTCAGTGTTACTAATAAAAAAACATATAAAAATATGTAATTTATAATCACTAATATGATTACAGAATTTTTTTATACTCACCGTAAATTGTACACATAGTTTAGTTTAGTTCATAGATTCGCATACTATGAATACATAGAAATAGAGTATTACGACAGCTCAATCACTCGAACTATACTACAGTAACTTCTTTTGTGGAATATATGACTGAAAGTAGATGCTCTCAATAACATGGTTCTACATACTAGTTTATCAGATTAGTTTTTCTTTTTATAAATAAAAAAGTTTTTATAAATCTATTTAATTAAAAATATTAAACAATATATCACAAAAAAGCCTTTTAAATTTATCAGACTGATCTATTTAAATAAATATAAATATTTTATTATTATTATTATTATAAAGTGTTTATATTTTAAATTAAAATAAAAAAAAAAGTTTATATATATAAAAAGATTTATGAAAATATACTGAAAAACTTATGAAAAATATCATAATTTATTTTTTTAAGTTCACTCAAATAAATAATATCAAAAAATAGATATTAATAAATAAAATTGAATAAATCAATACAAATAAATATTTAATCTAATTAATTTTTTTAATTTGTTAATCTATTGAATTATTTATTTGAAAATATTCAAATAAAATAGATTTTAATGCAGAGTAATAGACAAATCAAGACTTTCAAATAAGGTTAACCTATTTTCACTCGTAGTGGAATATAATGGTTGCACCCTTCCACGTGCAAGACACCCAACCAAAAAAAAAATTGTATAAAAAAACATACAAAAATTTACAGTAAAAAGAAAAGGAAATGAAAGCAATGAACATTTGATCTGAGATGATCATTGGATCAGAATTGAAACGTGGGATTAATAATTTATTGGCAGTGTTGTTCTTCTCACCGGAAAAACACGTAACTCTTTAAGTTGAAAACCGAGTTGGACTCTATAGTTGACGTCACACACAGTTCACACTTCACACTTCACACTCGTGAGTTGAGTTGAGTTTCACTCCGATTCACTTCAATCATCGATCCAACCCTAATCACTCAATGGAAGATCCATCGGAGAGGTTGGGATCGGCGGATTTGGATTCCGTCTCCGCCGTTAAGACCGACGACTTCTCCATGGAAATTGATCCGCCGTTTCAGGAAAACGCTGTAACTGCCGAGGACTGGCGGAAGTCTCTCAGCAAAGTCGTCCCCGCCGTCGTCGTCCTCCGAATAACCGCTACTCGTGCTTTCGATACCGAGTCCGCTTCCGCCAGCTACGCTACTGGTTTCGTCGTCGACAAACGCCGTGGTATTATCCTCACTAATCGCCACGTCGTCAAGCCTGGTGCGCTACTCTTACTGTTCTTTCTCTTCTTTTCCGTTCGCGTTAACTATTGCTAACTTGTTCTCGCTTCTGTTTCGAATGTGCAGGACCTGTTGTTGCAGAAGCCATGTTCTTGAACCGCGAAGAGGTTCCGGTGCATCCTATATACAGAGATCCAGTGAGTGAGCTTTGCTTTCGATTTGCTGTTTTTATCTTAAACATAATATTCTCATTAATTGATTCCTTCTTATCGCTCTTTTTTGATGGTATTTAAATTGTAAATGAAAAAATGATTCCTCTTTTGTTATATTTTGTGATAATCAAATTTCGGTATTCCATGATACTGGACCTGCTCAAACTATATTCTGTGAATATGTTTAAGTTCTATAAATAATTATTCTGGTTCTCAGATTGTTCTTTTCTTCTTATTAAGGCTCTATTTGGCAATCATAATAAGTTAGCTTATATTGTGGACATCTTATAAGCTGTTGATAAAAAAAGATTCATTTCATTTGCTTCCGTCGATATCTCACGAGTTTATAGTTTATTTTTATTAACTTATAGTAGCATTTGTGATAAGCTAATTTAAGTAGCTTATAGCTTACCATTATCTCTTTTATTTTCACTCTTGTTATTTTAATTAAATAAACTAATTACTAATTGAACATATCTTTTTTATGTCAATTTATATTTATAAGTCAATCTAATCAATAGTTCTACCAATGACTACAAATTCAATTAGTTATCAGTTATATGCTATAAGTTAGTTTATCAACTATGTGCTATTTTTTACCAAACATGGACTGATTCTTATTAATTTGATTAGTTAGTTAGTGCCGAGAATTAGTGTTTATTTTGATAATATGAGGATTAATTTTTATTCCTCTTTTTTTGTGTGGCTATTGATACACTTCTACAGGTACATGATTTTGGGTTCTTTCGGTATGATCCTAGTGCCATACAATTTCTAAACTATGAAGAGATACCTCTTGCTCCAGAGGGTGCTTGTGTTGGATTAGAAATCAGAGTTGTTGGTAATGATAGTGGTGAAAAGGTACAAACAGTATTCACTTCTCTTATTTTGTCTCTGGTTTCATTATTCATTCATTTTTTGTTTAGTTTTTTAGATAAGCATGTTTCATTAAGTAGTTCAATTGTTCTCTCTTTCCTGTTGCACTCTTGCATATTTCTTTTTGTCTTAATTGATTCTTGTTAGAACATGGGTAACTGAGTCGAGTTCTGTTGCTTTTGATAGTTTTCTTGGCTAATTGACCATGTCAGTAGAACATTATTGCAAAAAGCTTAAAGGTAGTGTTGACTTCTGCAGTTTTTTTAGTTCTGAGTTTTTTTTTTTTGTTTCTCATCATTGTCAATTTATAATGGCTACATCCATTTGTTGTCTTTGGTAAATTTTCTTGGACTTTGGTTTGTAAAATCAAGTGACACATCAAATATTATTTTTCCTACCGCTGTGGTAGGTCAAAATGGTATGCTTTCATGGTTACTCGTTACTACTTGCTCTTTACTGATGTTCGATGGACCCTGACTTCTAGTGTTACCCAGGTTTATTTTATTCCAATAATTTTGTATAATAGTTTTGGCTTTTACTTCCAGGTTTCCATTTTGGCTGGTACTCTTGCTCGTTTGGACAGGGATGCTCCTCACTATAAGAAGTATGGTGTGAAATAACTGTAACTTTTTCCTATTATATGTTTGTTATGGCTCCTTTCAGAGCAAGTGGAATTAAGATTGTTGAACTGTTTTTTTGATGCAGGGACGGGTATAATGACTTCAACACATTCTATATGCAAGTAAGTGAGAATAAGTGCTTATAATTTTTTTCCACATTTTTCTTCAAAATCTCAAACTATGACTTTGTTTATGTTGTTGTGTAATATTTTCCTTGGTTTTATTTGAAGTGTATAAGTATCTTTATAATTTGTCCAATGCCAATTTAAAGGCTTCCTTAATTTTTTATTACTTAGAAATATAGTAAGTTAAACAAAATGGGGCTTCATTCCTTAAAATGCTAGGCTGAGTAAATAAGTTTTAGGGGATCAAATCAATTTGTCTTCATTTGGCAACTTAATTTGTGGATTGAGTGATTTATATGACATGGGTTCTAAGCCCGCTTTGATACTGGTTTATAGTAACTTTACATGGTCAGACTCTCGTAATGAGTGTGTAGCAAGTTAGGAGTTGGTCATTACTTGATTGCAACTATATGCGTTTTGGTATTTGCTTTACAGGCAGCATCTGGGACCAAAGGAGGATCAAGTGGTTCCCCAGTTATAGATTGGCAAGGCAGGGCAGTTGGCCTAAATGCTGGGAGCAAGACAACAAGTGCATCGGCATTCTTTTTACCTCTAGAACGAGTGAGCTCTTGATAAACATTTATCGAACTTGTCTGACACTTCATGTAGTAACCAAACAGAAGCATGACTCGTTCAATTGGGAAAAGTGAGCAACTAAATACAGTGATTTACTTTTCAGGTTGTGAGGGCATTAAGGTTTCTTCAAAAGGGGAGTGAAACTTATGTTGATAAATGGATGGCAGTTTCTATACCTCGCGGTACACTTCAGGTTTGACATTGAAATTATTCTTCAGAGGTTCTTCCTTTAATGTTTTTCTCGTAATTCATTATTTAATGTATTTCATTATAATTATAATTATATAATAGTAATATAATATAATTTAACGAAACTTGAATATTTGTATGCTACATTGTTGCCAATATATTTACAATGTTCAAATTTTTTCAATTCCTCGCATTTTTTCCTGTATGTCTCCGCATTATACTTGTTTAGATTGTGGATGATATGATTGTAGGGGTTTCCAGTTTAGTACTTTATGTTTTGTTTTTATTCCTTTCATCCTTAATCTGTTTATGCGCTCAATTTTTCTCTTTCATATTAAATGAGATGACTGCAGAGTTTTTTCTTCCTTTTTGGCTAATTAAATGGATGTTTCCTTAGATATGAGGCAATAACTGTAAAATATGATACAGGTGACTTTTCTCCATAAAGGGTTTGATGAGACTCGTCGACTTGGCCTTAGAAGTGAGACAGAGCAGGTTGTTCTAGTCTTTAGTTTTTCATTTTATATCTTTATCAAGGCGCAATATCCTTTAAATATGCCCTGCATTATTTACACTGCATTTGATTCTTTTAGACAGTACGGCATGCTTCTCCTGCCAGTGAAACTGGAATGCTTGTTGTGGAATCTGCGGTAAGCAATTTGTTATGTAGAACTTTAATTTTCCACTAGATGACATTTCATTTCAATTTCTTCGGCTTTAATCTTTGACTTGTTTAGGTGCCGGGTGGTCCAGGCTATAAACATTTGGAACCGGGTGATGTACTTGTTCGTGTCAATGGTGAGGTAAGTTTGTTTGAGAGAAAGTAATCCTTTTCAAAAAAGTAATCCTTTTCATTTTCTTTTGACCAAACAAAAGACAATTAAAAATGAGAGCGAGAATGAGGATAAATTAGAGATTTTATTATAATTTATAAGAGGATTTCTTTTTCCTCCCTATCCTTTTCTAGCGTACCACGCGAAATATATTTCCGGTGCACATCCACACACTCATAATTCATTCGTTTTTTGAGATTCGCCCTATTTTACGACAAAATTAATTCCGGAAATACACTTCCGGAAATTCCCGAAAATGCATTTCCGGTTAGGAGTTGCTTGTGTCATGTCCACCTGGTTGCTGGCTTTTGTATGTAGTGAAACAAATCACTCTTATAGAAACTTAGGTGGTCCACCATATTGATGACCTCATCAATGAACGAAAACCAAATCGAGTCCCTCATGAATTTGTGTTCTTTTTGATTGAAATTGTTTAAATTATTTGAACTATAACCTTGTGGCTACTGATTGTTGATGAAGCTTCCAAACCTTTTCAAATTTTTCCATGGTTGGTACTTGATTTTGTGTCTTTTGATGCTTGCAAATTTGAATCAAACACTTCCTTTTTTAATTAACTAAAACTGCAAAATACTTGTTCCTTTGATATCCCTGTAAATTTGCTTCAAATCTTATACAGGGATATTTCCGGAAGTGTATCCCTGTAAACTGCAAAAGCCAGCAATCAGGTGGACATAACACAAGCAACTCCATCGGCAGTAATATACAAGAGTCATGAAGAAAAAGTGCAGTAGATACTGGAAATGTATTTCCGGAATAAATTAAGTTATAAGTGCTTCTGGTAATGCATTTTCGGGATTAATTGAAATTTAACTAAAAAAAGTGCGTACCAGAAATATATTTCCGGTTCTAAGGGGCATTTTAGGGATTGCGTAGGGTTTTGTTTTCACTATAGAGTGGAAAGAGAAATTATCATTTATAATTGTAAGGATAAAACTAGGACCATAGAGTTAAACATTACTTCAGTTAGCTCATTTACCAAGAGGAATTAAACTGCCACCCCCTCAATTATACCAGGCACCCCCACATAGTGGCTGCTATTACCTTTATGCCCTCACTAAATTTTTTCAGAATTTTTTTTATTGTGTTTACCGGATTTTTCTGGTAAAAATCACTCATTTCTGGTAAAAACTTGAAGAAAAAATATGTAACACTACCGGAAATTTCCGGTAAACTACAGCACTTAACGGAATTTTCGGTAAAATACAGTACTTTTTGTTAGTGTAAAAAAATATTTTTTTATTATATAATATCAACTACCGGAATTTTAAAATATCCGGAAAAATAAGGTAGATACCGGATTTATCAAAAAATCCGGTTTGGTAATTTATTTTTTCAAAAAAATTTATACCGGAAATTTTGAATGACCTACCGGATATTTCGTTAGCACTTTTTAACTCAAATTTGTCCATGGGCAGTTTGGGAATTATGAAAATATGTGGGGTGCCAGGTTTAATTGAGGGGGTGGCAAGTTAAATTCTCTTTACCGAAGACATTTTGCGGTCCTTGTTCCGCTGGTCTTAAATGTTTAACTCTGACATTATTGCAGGTCATCACTCAATTCCTGAAGCTGGAGACTATACTCGATGACAGTGTAAACTCGAACATCGAATTACAAATTGAAAGGGGTGGTGTGTCAAAGAGTTTAACTCTATTGGTAAGAGTTTTATGGCCCGGATATAGATATTTCATTAGTACTGTTTGACTTGTCTGCTTGAATAATACAAAATAAAACTATTGCTTACGGTTGTGCCAACTTTTTTAAATGTTCATCAGGTGCAAGATTTGCACTCAATAACTCCAAATTATTTCTTGCAAGTTAGTGGAGCAATAATCCATCCTCTTTCATATCAGCAGGTTAGTTAGATTACATTTGGAAATTTTTTTGTATTTTATAGTCTTCTCAGAAAAAAAAATTGAATATGATTTTGCCTGCATTTAAGAGGCCAAAGGAGATGGCTATTCAAATTGAAAAACTTGTCTAGAATATTTAACATCTTCCTGAAATTTATAAAATTAGTACAAAGTAGCGATTGATCTTTTTCTTTCATTCTATTGGTGCATCTGTCTCTAGGTGCCTTCTTCTGTTAAATTACTGTTTTCCATATATGGCCAATTTCCATCTCATACGTATGAAATTGAGTACCAGTTTGTTTCTTCTTGTGGTTACTACAGCAGCATAGTTGTCTGGACTGGTAACTTGTTATAGGGATGTATAACAATTGACATGTTTTTCTCATTTGTACTCCGAATATGTTAAGCAGCCCTCCACAGGTTGCTTCTGTTGCTCTTCGAATTTTAAGCTACCTTTCTCATTATGGTCATGTTTATCACCTGTAATGCAGGCTAGGAACTTCCGATTTCAATGTGGTCTTGTTTATGTGACAGAACCAGGGTATGTAGACTTATATAAACAATGATTATACCATACTTATTAGTTAATTCTACGTCACAAAAAATCGGATATTTGTTTGAATTTATAGATTACTTTTATGAAAATTATTAGTGGAATTGCTAATTTGTTATAACTTTGTGATGATCTGGTAAGAGTTATTTGCTGATGTATTTATGAATTACTCTCTCTGGACACTATTATAAGCAAAAATAATCAATTCACATTGATTAAGAAAGTTAGTTATAAACAATTAATTTTTTAGATTTCATGTAAAACAGAAGTTAAATTTACTAAACTGTCCTTGTTGACATTTAATGAATTAACTACTCTATTAAATATATTTATAGAATAAAATGAAGGGTATATTGGTAACACTAGCATTAAATAGCTTAAAAAGTTATCAACTTTTGCTTCTAATAGTGACCAAAATTTTATGTCATTTTTTTCTTATAATAGTGACCAGAGGGAGTATTAAATTTAATTACTTAAAGTTGTTTGGTCACTTGACAAATTTACCAATAATTTTTAGTGTATCATCACTTGAGTCATGCACAAGGGTCATTGCTAGAAGGAGAAGATATTTGTGATATTTATTTAACATTTTGGCATAAAGCATGTGATTTGTTGAATATATGACAATTACCTTTTGCAGATATATGCTCTTTAAAGCAGGAGTTCCCCGCCATGCAATAATTAAGAAATTTGCTGGTGAAGAAATATCTTGCCTTGAGGAACTAATATCAGTTCTGTCCAAGCTATCAAGGGGGGCTCGAGTACCATTGGAGTATATAAGCTATGTGGATCGTCATCGAAGGAAGGTAAGGTTACTATAGAGTCTAAATATATGACAAATGTGTATTTGCAGATACTATATTTTCCTGTTGTTGTAAGGTAACTTTCTTAAATCTTTTTAAACCTTTAGCGTGCAATAAAATTATGTTCTTGTGGTTCATTATTTTCTATAACAAACCCTCACTGGTTGGAATGTGTATGGTATTTCTGTTGGGAGTTATGGGTTTTAGACAAAAGTAGGAGAGAAATAATAAGAGGTTGAATATCATCTATAAGAACTTGATAGTAACTTGATATAAAAGGCTAGACTTTAACTTCTATTTATAGGGATACACGTCCAAAATAAATAGGGAAATCGGGAAACAAATCATAATAACCATGTAATATGAAAACTAATACTAGGAGATAATCTTAAGATACACTGAGATTATAAACTAATTTTAGGGAATAAACTAAGATATGCATAATTATAATATGATATCAAAGATATTTTAGTACTCACTTTGTCTCATCTTAAGTGTCTCCTTTGAGTTTTGCACAATTTTTATGATTATAAGTAGTTATTTTGATTACAATGATAAATTGAGTTTCATTTACTAAAATTTCCTTATTAATTGTTGTTATTGGAGTTGAAGTACAAAAAAATAAGGGTATGGTTGTTGTATTGGCATAATTTGATTCATGTAGCCGACCCCACTTAATTGGATAGGGCTTGGTTATTGTATTGGCTTTTTGACACAATACTGTTTCATGATCGAAGCATCAGTATATTTATATTTGTATTCTTTTGGTACTTTAGTTTACCATGATCTCATAAAGGTATAACCCATTTCTAATTATGTTTCATGAACTTGTCTGATGGCTGTAGTCGGTGTTGGTGACGGTTGATCGCCACGAATGGTATGCACCTCCCCAGATATACACTCGGGACGACAGTACTGGCCTATGGATTGCCAAGCCTGCTTTTCAGCCTGATTCCCCTTTTCTATCATCTGGGACTAAAGATGTTGGAAATCTGGCCAGCTGTCCAATTTCATTGACTGGTGAGCATGCTTGTGGGGGAGATGTGTCTGAAGGTAACCATCAGGAGTTGGTTGATGGTGTCACTAGCATGGAAACTAATTATGAAGATCCTTCAGAGGGTGTATCTCACCACAATGGTTCTGATGGCATAGTAAAAAAACGGAGAGTAGATGATTTATCAACTGATGGAAGTGTAGCTGATATTTCCTTCAATGAATCCGAGGAAGCTAAGCTAGAAAAATCAGGTGCCATACAGGATGATGGGTTAATGGACTATCAAGGTGCAACTGCTGCCACAGCAAATGCATCGATCACTGAACGTGTGATTGAGTCTACTCTTGTGATGTTTGAGGTAGTTTTTGAAACTTATCACAATTCTGATCATTGACTTGACTTGACTTGGCATAAATTTTACTGCAGCATTTCAGTATATGTATTCATTCCTCTAGGCAATTTTGTTCATATCAATTCTATTTTTGTATTTATAACCTCTTCTATGAGTTAGGTCTCAACGCTTTATGCCGTAGTGTGGTAATGGCACTGACTTGCCGGTTTTCCCATGGCTCCTAATTTCTCTCATCTTCAGGTGCATGTTCCTCCATCTTGTATGCTTGATGGTGTTCATTCGCAGCATTTTTTTGGAACCGGTGTCATAATATATCAAACTCAAGATATGGGATTAGTTGCAGTTGACAAGAATACTGTTGCAGTATCTTCCTCTGATGTGTTGCTATCTTTTGCTGCTTTCCCCATTGAAATTCCTGGAGAGGTAAATCTTTCTTATAGAATTTGTTGCTAATAATATAAAATGAATGAACAAGAAGACAGGCTTTCTTTAGCTTGGTGTCTTTTTTCTTAACGGCAGGTGGTATTTCTCCATCCTGTTCACAATTATGCTCTCATATCATATGACCCATCTGCCTTGGGACCTGTTGGCGCTTCAGTGGTTCGTGCAGCAGAGTTACTTCCAGGTGGGTTTGACCATGTCATTTCTTAAATTTAGACTGTTTGAAGGTTGCTTTATCCAATCCACTTTTGATTATGAAGAACATGTTCATTCTCAGTGTTTCATAAACATTACCCATCTATACCTTGACTGAATTGAGAAAAGATAACTGGCTATCCTTGGGCTAAAATAGAAAGAAATTGGGAATAGTAATAAATCCAAATCCTGATTTCTTCTGTTCTCTCTCTGTCAAGTCAAACTGGTCTTACCGGTGAGTGTAGTATGATTAAAATGGATATGATTAACTTTTTGTGGACTTATCACTATGTATCTTCACAGTTCGATACTTGATTGTTTTCGTTTTGTATGGAAGTTAATTGCTTCTGGTAGTAAATCATTAAATAAATCTAGCAAGAGATGTGGGAACTTTTAAAAGGTATATACATTTTAGATGTGGATGCTGTGGCAAGGAAGATGTTTGTGAGCATTTGCACTTTCATGATGATTTTATTTATTTATCTATATTGACGAAATATAAGTACATTTTTTTGTTCAGAGCCAGCATTATGCCGAGGAGATTCTGTTTACCTTGTGGGCTTAAGCAGAAGCCTTCAAGCAACTTCTAGGAAATCAGTTGTTACCAATCCTTGCGCTGCATTAAATATAGGATCTGCAGACTCTCCACGTTACAGAGCAACGAATATGGAAGTTATTGAACTTGATACTGGTAAATTTGGATGTTTTCATTTTTTTTTAACCAACGTAATACTCGTTTAGATAAATGTCTTACTCTTCATGTGTTTGAATACAGATTTTGGTAGTTCATTTTCGGGTGTACTGACAGATGAACAGGGAAGGGTCCAAGCTTTATGGGGAAGCTTCTCTACTCAGGTTCTTACCTGTTATCCTCTTGCTTGCTTACTAAGATGGATCTGGACATTTTTCAGTGGGTCCAAGATAGGAAAAATGCCAAAGTAAATTGGATGATAAAAATGAATTCTTACTTTTTAAAATAAAAAGTGATTTGTAAGCCTTTTCCAAATATCTGTGTGTTTTTGTGTCAGTTCATTCTTTAGCATAATATGAGAACCTTTTTTTACTAGACCTTCTAAAATTCAAACTTACTGCTTCTTTTTTCATTATTAAATAAGTTAGCACCTGATTTTGATGAGCTTGGGCACGTACACACCCCCCTTTCCCCCAAGTTTTACGAAGAACTACACTTGGGTCTTACTCTAATAACTTAAACAGAATAGATGGTTTGTATGAAAATGCATTACCCCATTTCAAAGGCAGGACATGTCACAAGCCACAGTAAGGGAATACGTTTACTTTAATGACTTTCTAATGGACTGCCAGTTGGAACTGGAATTGAACCCGGCCATTATATAGTCCAAACCATACCTCAATACTAATTTCTAAATGAAGTTAAAAAAGAATAAGCAAACTTCGTCAATTTATGATACCATAATGATTAAAATCCCCTAATGAAAGGCTTTAAACAATGTACATATTCTACAATAGTTTTTGGTATTCTCATTTGTGTAGTATATAATAAAGCCTAACTTCAAACAGTTGTGATAATTTTTGGTTTTCTCATTTGGTTAGTATAATAAAGCCTAACTTCAAACAGTTGTGACAGTTTTTGGTCTTCTCATTTGGTTAGTATAATAAATCCTAACTTCAAATTCAAACAGTTGTGATAGTGTTTGGTCTTCTCATTTGTATAATATAATAAAGCCTAACTTAAAACAGTTGTATCTTCGTAGAAGAAGAAAAAGAGAAGAAAGATGAAAACTGGGAAAAGACGAGACAAGACAATACTTACTCATACTTCAAAAGACTACCAGATGGTGGGTTGGTCCTTGAAGTCTATATGCCATTACTCCTTTTCATTTAAATTTATAATATTAATAAGAAACACCTTTAGCTGTTTTGAAGTATTATGGATTTTATAAAAGTGAATCACAAATCATAGAAGAAAAATAATACAAGTCTTAACAAGAATAATTCATGTGGTTGAGTAATGTTAGTGTTACACAACTGATATAAAATGCCTGAAATTTGGCAGAATTCAAGTGTGGTTTTTGGGCTACTTAAAAGTGGTAGGGACCACCCATCCATATAAGAACTAACAATCATCACATATTCTTTTAGCAAAAAACAAATTCAGGATGTCTATAACATTCTTCTGCTGACTAAATTTGCTTGGATGGAACGATAGAAAATATAGGAGGGAAATGGTAGAGCAATTGAAATATTGTAATCTCATCTTCATGGTATTTGGTAGAGAATGTGATAAATAAGATGACTAATTTTTTTCATACCACACTGTAGGCATATCTGAATGTCCAGATGAATAAAGAATATAATTATGATATTAATTTAATATACTATTCTGATTAACTTTATCTCTAACTTAAAATAATAAAAATAAGGGAATGGTAATTTTTAAGTGTGTTATCATTGTATTATCGCTTCCTCTTATGTAGTGTGGTCTCTCTATTGTTTTTAATCTATGAAGCCCGGACTCGGACACGTACACGGGACACAACACGAACACGGACACAAGGACTCCGCTAATGTAAAAAATATAGGACACGGTCACGGCTATATATATTTTATATATTAATATAATAATGCAATTTATAAATAGTTCAAAATGAGAAGTAAATTTTTTGTTTATCTAAACTTAGTACTTTCAATAAAAAAAAGGACATAAATCCACCAAAATAAAATGATACAAATCATATCATAGTCACTCCATATCGAGAAAACCAGCCTCTAAATATGGTTCATTCAAAGACAAATTAGCAACTTCAAGAAATCCAGTGTCATCTAGAGATCCAAACTCATCTCTAGCAACATCCCACATTTTAGTTTCCTCTTGATGATATTGGGGAGTGTTCTTTGATAGAAGTCGAAGGTTACTATGCACATATACTAAAGCTTTTGCTCGATGTGGTGCCATCTTGTTTCTCTTCAAAGAATGAATAAATGAATATGTGCTCCAATTTCTTTCACAACATGATTATGAACAAGGTTGTGCAAGCAACTTAAGCGCAACCTTTTGAAGATAAAAACAAGGAATCCTAATTGTATAATTGTGTTGATTTTAATGGTAAAGAATCCTATTTTTGAGTTGGGCCTTTATTTTTTTAATTTGAATTTTTTGTTGAATCGTGTACTATATTTAAAATAAAGTGTTGTACCCGTGTCCGTTTTGATTTATTTATTTTTCCTGTCGGACACTTCAAAAACGTGTCAGATACGTGTCGTACGAGTATCTGTGTCCGCGATGTGTCCAACACGCCGTGTAAATGGCGTGTCTGCGCTTCATAGTTTTTAATTCATTATCTGCTTTTTTCCCAAGCAAATACCAAACGATCATGGTTAGGTAATTTCAGTCCTAATTTTAATCTTATTATTATGTACTCAAACATGTCACAATTGCAGTTTTTTCGGGTGATATTGGGTGTGAGTTGTGACAATTAGAGATTTTTTTGGTTTGTGGCAAACATCTATAATGTGACATGACATGCCCACCCACCCTAGGTAGGTTGTGGGCAATTTGCATAAATAAAGCCTTGAACTAATTTAAAAATATTTATTTAACAAACTTCAAAATATTTAACAGTGAAAAAGGAAGCAGTAATATTTCATTAGAGCTATATTTAAAATAAACTTCTTCCCAACTTTTAATAGTTTTTTAATTCTATTTTGCAAAAGGGTTGATTTTGATGTGATTACTTATTAAAATTTTTTCCTGCATATTTTGCAAAAGGGAGGGGGAGGGTTTATATTGTGAACCCTGACTGCTTGTAAAACGTGCTGTAATTTTTATTTATCTATCTGAAAGAATTTCCATGGTCCAGCTGAAATTCAGTGGCAGTACATCAGAAGATCATCAATTCGTGAGGGGAATTCCGATTTATGCAATAAGCCAGGTCCTGGATAAGATCATATCTGCTGCAAATGGGCCACCTCTTCTCATAAATGGTGTCAAAAGGCCTATGCCACTTGTGAGAATATTAGAAGTTGAACTTTATCCAACATTACTTTCAAAGGCTCGCAGTTTTGGATTAAGTGATGTTTGGATTCAGGTATGATGGAGTCTCCTTTATGGTTTGAGTTTTTTCTTTAATATTTATTTTCTGTCTATGGATTACATTTTTGAACTTTTTCCACTTTATTGACATAAAAAGAATGCAAAGTTGTAGCTTTCTATTTTATGATGATGTGTATCCAAGGAAGAATTTTAGATTTTGTTCTCTCTGGTTAGAACCACATTTAAGCCCTTCATCTTGATATGATGATGTCTAATTCTGACTAAAGCTGAGTTATTTATGGCGGAAAACCATATTTATTCACTATTCACAAGTTATTTATTGTATGGATTTTGTGTATGAACCGTAGTATAATGTCTTTCCACTAATGGCATGTCAAACATTCCATCATTCCGTTATTGAAATCTATTGGAGTTTGCTGGTGTTTAAGTTCCACTCCATTTGGCTAACTGAAGTTAATAAATTAGAAGCATTATGAATTAAATATTTAATACAGCTTCGAAATTAGTCAAAATAACAGTTTTCATATGTAAGGTATTAGGGATGGGAAGCTAGGATCATTAAGGATGCATATTCAATTTGCTAGGATCATTAAGGATGCATATTCAAATCTGTCCGTCAGTAATACACCTCCAATGTTGAAAATTAGTATTTGGTTTACTAATTACCAAATGAAAATCATGTACTGTATTCATTATGGATGTGTATTGTCACATGTTTCTGAGGCTAAAAATGATTTAAAACACTAATTACCATTGATGATTACCTAAATTACAAATTTTGCTAATGAAGGTTGATTTAGTTGGCAAGGAGTTGATTCATACCTCACAAGGGCGTGAGTTCAACTCGTGCTGCCGGCGTGAGGATCTCTTTGGTGGGTAGTATGTAAGTGCTCTCTGAGCCTAGGCTTTGTTTGGGAGTTTGGAAGGGAAGGGAGGGAAGGGCTCTGGAAGATGATTAGAGAGAAAAGGAAGGGAAGGGTTCCGGATAGGATTGAGCTAAGCCTTAAACAAAGGTCCCACAGTGTGTTCCCCATATGATATAACTAGGGTAGCTAAGGCATCAGTGCAAAACGGAGAATGTGGAAGTAGGAATGACTTGATGTGAGGTATGTAGTTACAAAAGAGAGAAAAGGGGAATCTGAAATAAAACAGGATGCACATGAAACGAATCGTTTTTCATTGTCTTTGAGCATCAACTCGGGCTATGAGAGATTGGTAGGTCGTTCTGTTACTGTTCAGAGCTTAGTTAGTTGGTGGGTTAGAGAGATAGTTACGCTGTTGCTGCCTATAAATAGAGGATTGATTGAAGAGGGGAGTATCTTGTTAATTGAGTGAATTACAGGCTTTTTGGTATTGGGAGCTGGGAAGACCCTGGAAGCTTTGCCATTGTTTTGTAATCCAGGGATTATTCCCCATTTTCTATAATAATACCACTTGGTTTCCATCAACTAGTATCATAGTTGTTTTGACTCAGGTGAATTTAGGAATTAAGCAAGAATTTTCGGTGGGAAGATCCAAGTTGATTCCAAGATTTGGTGGAAGGGAAACCTACTTGTGGCTGATATAGGTAGGATATTTTGAGGGCAGAAGAATGCTGGAAGAAATGAAACTATGGTGGGTTGTTGCTTTTGCATTGAGACGAGAGAGGCTCTTGTTGGGTGGGTTTCCTGGAAGGGGAGCAGTACAAATGCTTCTTGGTGGAATTTTTCAAAGGCCCATTCTCCAGCCTGAAGTTTGGCGCCTTGTTCAAGATTCTGAATTAGATGGACCAAGAATCCATGGTATTGAGGGAAAAAGTTCCTAAAGAAAATAAGCAACAATTGGGAAGGCTGGGAATCTCAATAGAAGTAGGAGAATCAGAAGATAGAAGTAAGGATGATGTTGTGAAGGTGGATATAATGAGCAGCCACAGGGAAAAGAAGCATTCTTGGGTGAGGCAGAATCTAGAGCCTCGATAGCTGGGACCTTGTTGCTCAATATTTCGTTAATAAGCAGTCTCCTGTTCTGAGATAGAATCTGATAGATATAGTGTAAATAGAGATTAGTTTCTGTTTATATAAATGATGAGCTGTCATGTTAGTTAGACTGTATTAGTTTGTTACAGTTAGTTACAGCTCCTACTCTATATATAGAGTATTCATTGTATTATTTGATTCATGAAATACAATGAGAGTTTCACAAACTATTCTCTCTTTCTGCACTATGATATTGTAACATGGTATCTAGAGCTTCCATTTAAGATCCAGCCACACGTCTCCATGGATCCTTTGTTTTCATCTTCGCAAGTAAAGCTTTCTCACTTGATCTCTGTCAAGCTTGATGACAAGAACTTCAAGCAATGGAAGCAACAAATTGATGGAGTTGTTCGCGGTCATCGTCTTCAACGCGTCGTCACTGTTCCGGTGATTCCACCACAGTCACCGTCCGATTCTGTTTCTGCACTTCACGGTACGAACTCTGCGTATCTTGATTGGGAACAACAGGACGCACTCATCTGTACATGGCTTCTTTCCACTATCTCTGATTCGCTTCTTCCGAAGCTTGTTGATTGCAAGCATTCATGGCAAGTGTGGACGGAGATTCACCGTTACTTCAATACGCTTCTGTCCACCAAAGCGCGACAGTTGCGATCGGAATTCCGTCGTCTCACAAAAGGTACGCTTACGATTGAGGAACTCATGGTTCGTGTTCGTGAAATCAGCGAGTCTCGGTTTCGGTTGGAGATCCAGTTCCTCTTCGTAACCTAATTGAGATCGTCCTCGTTGCGCTTCCTGAGGAATACGACTCCATTGTTGCAGCTGTTAACAGTAAAGAAGAACTCAGTTCTCTTGATGAGCTTGAGTTGTCGCTTCTTGCACATCAGTCGCGCTTGGAGAAGCATCGCAAAGCCGTCGTCACTGAACCTGCAACGGTGAATCTTGCGCAGGTAGCACCACCGTCTGCAACGGTCGCCATCGATCAATCCGGCACAAACGTGTTTCCTCAAGGTACGAGTCACGTCACTGCGAATGCTGAGAATCATGGTTATAGCTCCTGTGGAGGCCGTTCTGGTCGTGCAGGTGGTCGTTATGGCCGTGGTGGTGGTCGTTTTGGCAAAATGCAGTGTCAGATTTGTCACAAATCTGGACATGATGCATCCATCTGCTATTACCGTTATTCAAATTCCAGTGGTGCTGCGTATCCACCTCAAAGAGCTCCTTACAATCCTTTTCTCATGCCAGCTCGCCCTATGTTTCAACCTTCATTTGGTATGGAGCTCCACGAGCCACTCCTCCTAGGGCTACTGCACCACAAGCTTTCTTTGCAGGTTCTGAAGCTAATTTCAACAACCAATGGTGGTATCCAGATTCATGTGCCTCTTACCATGTTACTCCTGAGGCCTCTAATTTGTCTGACTCTGTCTCTTTGCCTGGATCTGAGCAGGTTTTTATGGGAAACGACCAAGGTTTGTCTATCAACTCTGTTGGTTCCATGTACTTTCCTTCACCAAACAATCCTAACATGTCCCTCACTCTTCACAATCTGTTACTTGTCCCTCACATCACCAAAAACTTTACGAGTGTAAGCAAATTTGCACAGGATAACAATGTTTTCTTTGAATTTCACCCTAAATTCTGTGTTTTCAAATCTCAGGCTTCTTCTGAAGTTCTGCTCTGTGGTCTAATGGGAGCTGATGGTCTCTACAAATTTCCTAATCCTGCCACTCAAATGTCCAAGCCTATTCCAAGTCTTAATACTTGTTCAACTCAAGCTTCTTCCATGAATAATTGTAGCTCAGGTTATAGCTTATCTTGTCCTCCTGTAGCTTTTAGTAGCAACACTTCAAGTTGTAGTTCAAATTGTGTTCCCTCTTGTAATTCTGTTTCTTTCAACAGTAATAATATGAGCAATTTTTCCAATTTTCCTCATATCAATGCTCTTACTCACAATCCTGAATTATCATCTCAACATGTTAATAGCTCTTCATCTATCTCAAAAATAAATATGTTCTGTGGCATACCAGATTAGGGCACCCCAATCATCATGCTATCACTGAAATTTTCAAATTAGGCCATCTACCTATTCCCTCCAAACCCCCTGCTGAACTGTGCACTGCTTGCTGTCTAGGCAAATCCCATAGGCTGCCCAGCTCTTTATCCACCACTGTTTACAGTCAGCCCTTTGAGCTTGTAGTTTGTGATCTGTGGGGACCAGCTCCAGTGATGTCCTCAAGTGGTTATACCTATTTCTTGACATGTGTAGATGCTTTCTCTAGATTTGTTTGGGTGTTCCCTCTTAGACTCAAATCTGATACCCTAATCCAATTCACTCACTTTAAGAAAATGGTAGAACTCCAATTCAACTATGCTATTAAGTGTGTCCAAACTGATGGGGGTGGTGAATTTAGGCCTTTCACAAAGTATCTAACTGATCTAGGTATTATTCATAGGTTCACATGTCCCCACACCCACCACCAAAATGGCATTGTGGAACGCAAACACCGCCATATTGTTGAAACTGGCCTAACCTTTCTTGCCCAATCCACCATCCCCCTCAAATTCTGGGTCATGCTTTTGTTACAGCTGCTTACCTTATTCCTAGCCCCACACTTGAAAATCACTCACCTTATTCTAAGCTGCTTGGCAGACCTCCTGACTATTCTAACCTTAGGGTGTTTGGCTGCTCCTGTTATCCATTTCTTAGGCCTTATAATTCTCATAAGCTGGATTATAGGTCCCAAGAATGTATATTCCTTGGTTACTCCACAGCTCACAAGGGGTATAAGTGCCTTGCATCTAATGGACATATTTACATCTCCAAGGATGTTTTGTTCCATGAATCCAAATTTCCTTACTCCATTATGTTTTCCATTAATTCTCAATCAACTCCAGCCTCATCTTCTTCCCCTGTGTCAGCTTGGTCTCTGCCACCTGTTTTCACTACTTCTGTTCCAAGTCAGGATAACAGTCTCTCTTCTTCTTTGTCAGCCAATCCTCAACCATCTGTCCCATCTAATTCTGCTTCTGTCCCCACTCTCAGTCCCTTACCAGCTTCTGCTTCTTCTGGCCTTAATGCTACTCCTAACACACCCAATTTATCCTCTACTTCCACTCCTGCTCTTATCACATCTGATCTTGCAGAAGCCAGTACTATATCTCCCTCTTCCTCTCAAACTCTCTCTTCTCCTCCTAGCCCTGTAATTACCACTCCACCCCAACCCTTTATTAACCTTTAAATGTTCATCCTATGCAAACCAGAGCCAAAAGAGGCATTACACTGCCCAAACTTCATCCCACCCTGTTACTTACACACATGGAACCAGTTGACAAGGCTTTGGCTGCTCCTAACTGGTTTCAGGCAATGCAGGAAGAGTATCAGGCTCTGCTGAGAAATCAGACCTGGACATTGGTAAAGTCATCTGGTTCTAGGAAGCCAATTGGCTGCAAATGGGTCTTCAGGTTAAAACAGAATCCTAATGGTTCCATAAACAAATACAAGGCCAGACTGGTGGCCAAAGGGTTTCATCAAAAGGCTGGAAGTGATTTCACTGAAACATTCTCACCTGTGGTTAAGCCTGTAACAGTCAGGATAGTGTTAACCCTTGCAGTCACCAACAACTAGACTATTCAGCAAATTGATGTCAATAATGCCTTTCTAAATGGCACTCTTGAAGAGGAAGTGTTTATGCAACAACCTCCTGGGTTTGAAGCATCTGATAAGTCTCTTGTGTGCAGATTGAACAAAGCTATCTATGGGTTAAAACAGGTTCCCAGGGCCTGGTTTGACAAACTTAAGAGTGCTCTTATTCAGCATGGGTTTCAGGCTAGGAGGTGTGATCCAAGCCTATTTTTGCTTAATCATGGCAGTCTACAGATCATGATACTTGTCTATGTTGATGATATAATCATCACAGGCAATTCTGCCTCATTTATAGAGTCTTTGATTAAGCATCTTAATGACAAATTCTCTCTTAAGCAGTTGGGCAAACTGGATTATTTCTTAGGCATTGAGGTCACTCATCTGTCACTCATCTGTCTAATGGGTCCTTACTTCTTTCTCAAACAAAGTACATCACTGATTTGCTGGCCAAGGTGAACATGTTGAATGCAAATAGCATGCCTACCCCTATGATTTCAAGCAGTAAGCTCTCCAAAATAGGTTCTACTGCTGTTGATGATCCTACACAGTTCAGATCAGTTGTTGGTGCTCTGCAGTATGCAACATTAACTAGGCCTGAAATCTCTCTTAAGCAGTTTTTGTCCAATCCCTTGGAGGAACATTGGAAGGCAGTTAAAAGAAATTTAAGATACTTAAGTGGCACTTCTCAGCATGGCCTTCTTATTCAACCTGCTTCTACTCAGCAGCCATTACAGTTGCTTGGGTTTTGTGATGCTGACTGGGCATCAGACCCTGATGACAGAAGTCCGCCTCAGGAGCATGTGTTTTTCTAGGCCCTAATGTGGTTTCTTGGTGGTCTAAAAAGCAACAGCTTGTAGCACGATCCAGTGCAGAAGCAGAGTATTGTAGCATGGCTCAGTTGGCTGCTGAACTAATCTGGATTCAGTCTTTACTTAAGGAACTACACTGTCCTTTCCAGGTGCCTAAGATTTTGTGTGACAATTTGAGTACAGTTACTCTTGCTCACAGTCCTGTGCTTCACAACAGGACTAAACATATGGAGCTAGATGTTTTCTTTGTGCGTGAGAAAGTCCTCAGCAAGAGTCTTATTGTAGCACATTTTCCAGCTCAGGATCAATGGGCTGATGCCTTGACCAAACCTCTGTCTGCAGCTAAGTTTGTGCCTCTGCGTGACAAGCTCAGAGTGTTCAACAAGAGTGACTTGTCAAGCACCCTCTCAGCTTCTAAGGGGGAATGATAGATATAGTGTAAATAGAGATTAGTTTCTGTTTATATAAATGATGAGCTGTCATTGTAGTTAGACTGTATTAGTTTGTTACAGTTAGTTACAACTCCTACTCTATATATAGAGTATTCATTGTATCATTTGATTCATGAAATACAGTGAGAGTTTCACAAACTATTCTCTCTTTCTGCACTATGATATTGTAACATAATCCACTTCCTATCAGTTTCATCGAGTTTTAGAGTTATTTACACCTATCAAGAAAATTAATAAATTTTGTTACTTTTGATGAAATTGTTTATTTTTCCTATAATATCATTAACTATTTATTATCTAATTCTACCTGTTTATCCCTCTCCATTAAATAAGGTATCATTGACAAAACAATAATTAATGTTGGATTGAATATTGAAAACAAGTAAATAGAAACAAAACTTTTCTACAAAAGTGACAAGTAATAAGGAAATGAGGGAGTATATAAAAAACAGAATTTAGGGTGGTATTCTTTATTAAAGCAGGGGATGTTACTGTTTCTTTGTGAAGTAGGAGTAGATATTAGTGTAGTTTAGACTAATATCTAAACAGGATAGTAAACGTACTTAAATGGTTTCCTTTATGACTTCAGTTCTAGAATTGGAATTATGGATTGTGACACTGTCGACAAGTCGTCCTCAGTTTTCCTGTTTATAATTTGCTTATCTTTACTTAAAGAAATTATTTGAAGCAAGACCAAAATTTATTATAATGTCTATCGTTATTCTGTTCTTTAGTTACTTTTAGATTCCGTTAGACTGTTACCTTCTCTCACTCCTTGAAACAACTAGCTTTGATACTGCCATTATCACGATTTGTTATTAATGGTTTTTAGTAAGATTATTGCAGGCGCTTGTTAAGAAAGACCCAATAAGACGGCAGGTTTTACGTGTTAAAGGTTGTTTGGCTGGATCAAAGGCTGAGAATCTTTTGGAGCAAGGAGACATGATTTTAGCAATCAATAAAGAACCAGTCACATGCTTCCTTGACATTGAAAATGCTTGCCAAGCCTTAGATAAATCTAATACCAATGATGGCTTGCTCCAGATGACTATTTTTCGGCAGGTACATTGAAAAAATCCAGCCTCCTCTGATTTAGAATTTGTAGATCTTGCTGAATGAACTGCTGTCTTATTTATTGAGGCACATGGGTGATAAATTTATGACTCATTTGTTTGGTTGTGTCTAGGGACGAGAGGTTGAACTTCTTGTGGGAACAGATGTTAGGGATGGAAATGGCACAACCCGTACAGTTAATTGGTGCGGTTGTGTAGTTCAAGATCCACATTCAGCGGTACGTGCTCTTGGATTTCTTCCCGAAGAGGGTCACGGTGTATATGTGGCAAGGTACGATTTTAGTTTTGTGCATGTAAATTTTTCATTCTTGAAAAGTGTAAATTGCTGTTTAATTAATAGCAGCATTGTAGGGTTTTCATTTGATATTTAATATTGCAAGTAAACTTGTATGAGAGCTTTCTGTTACAAACATCTAATTTAAAAGACCAAAGATGTGTTTGCTCAAAAAACATAGACTTGTTTGATTAAAAAATTATATACATTTTGTTTATTCACGAACTTGTACCAGCATTTTACTTGCATGCTTGTTTGACTAAGCATCAGCTCACAAAATTTGTCAATTTCACAGGTGGTGTCATGGGAGTCCGGTACATAGATATGGCCTATATGCTCTTCAGTGGATAGTTGAAATTAATGGAAAACCAACTCCAGATCTAGATTCTTTTGTTAATGTGACAAAGGTATGATATTTTTTTATGTATGGATGCAACTTACACATACATGCAGAATTACCTTTATTTTCTTCCTAGTTAGAGCATTGTAATTATTTCATGAAGTATTGTAATTGTTCTCATGACCTGATACTACTGTTTTGTGAATGCATTGTAATTATTTCTTGAATGTTTGCAGGAACTAGAGCATGGAGAGTTTGTTCGTATTAGAACAATTCACCTCAACGGGAAGCCACGAGTCCTAACATTGAAGCAAGATTTGCACTACTGGCCTACATGGGAATTGAGGTTTAATCCAGACAGTGCAATTTGGCATCGTAATGTAATCAAGGCATTAAACTGAATTTCTGTATGAATCATCAGAAGAGTATAGTATAAATGTAAACAGCAGACCAGGAGCAAAGACATCTTCCATGTTCTGATTTGTGATTTGGCAGCGCTGCCTTGCTCTAGATTTGACGCCCTTGACAAGTTATGAAGCATTCGATTCAGCTGGCAACAAGTTATTTCGACTATGCACCACATTATTTAACCTCTTGGATAATTATAATTTATATCTTATACCGGAAAAGTTGGATAATTATGAAAAAATAAAATAAAATATTTATAATTTTTTATAACGTATTAACAAGAATCTGTCTTTTCTTTGCCTTGTGAATACTATTGAATTAGGAGAGACTAAGAGACATTTAAGTTAAACCGTGTGTTATGAAAGCACTACGGAGACTTTATTAGATATAGAGAGATTACAATTAATTACACTATATAATCGATGTGGGACTATTCTACATACAAATATCAACGCTCCCCCTCAAGCTGGAGCATATAAGTCAAATGCACCAAGCTTGCCACATATATAATTAGTTTTGGGGCTTCGTAGAGGTTTTGTAAACACATTTGTCAATTGATCATTAGAGTTGACAAAGCTTGTGACGATGTCGCCAGATTCGATCTTCTCTCTGACAAAGTGACAGTCTATCTCAATATGTTTGGTCCTCTCATGGAAGATTGAATTTGAAGCAATGTGCAATGCAGCTTGATTATCACATACAAGTGTCATTGGTCTTGTTTCTTCAATTTTAAGTTCTTTGAGCAACTGTTTTAACCAAATGAGTTCACATGTTGCCATTGCCATGGCCTTATACTCTGCCTCGGCGCTTGATCTTGCAACTACATTTTGTTTTTTACTTTTCCAGGATATAAGATTTCCTCCAACAAGTACACAGTACCCAGAGGTGGATCGTCTATCAATTGGTGACCCTGCCCAATCAGCATCAGAGTATCCAACTATCTGAGTATGTCCTTTATCTTCATACACTAAACCTTTTCCTGGAGCACATTTGATGTATCTTAGAATTTGGATAACAACATCCATGTGTTCCTGACAAGGGGAATTTAAGATCTGACTTACCACACTGACTGCAAAAGAAATGTCTGGACGAGTGACTGTGAGATAATTCAACTTTCCAACCAATCTCCTATACCTTCCCGAGTCTGATAGAGGCTCCCCCTGATTGGGTAGTAGTTTGACACTTGGATCCATAGGAGTATCAACTGGTTTAGCGTTCAACAAACCTGTTTCTTCCAAAATATCCATAGCATATTTCCGTTGAGAAATCACCAAACCATCTTTAGATTGGGCTACCTCAATACCCAAGAAATACCGGAGTTTACCAAGATTCTTTGTCTGAAATTGATTTGAAAGATGTTGTTTCAACTGGAGTATTCCCGACTCATCACTACCAGTTATGACAATATCATCTACATACACAATAAGATAAATACACCCTTGTACTGAGTGACGATAAAAGACAGAATGATCAGCTTCACTACGGACCATACTAAATTATTGTACTACAGTGCTGAATCTGCCAAACCAAGCTCTCGGAGATTGCTTAAGACCGTAAAGAGACCTGTGTAGCCTACAAATCATATTCGATGACTCCCCCTGAACAACAAATCCATGTGGTTGCTCCATATATACTTCCTCTTCAAGATCACCATGTAAAAATGCATTTTTGATGTCAAGTTGATGAAGAGGCCAGTGTCGAATGGTTGTAATGGCTAGAAGAAGTCTAACAGATGCCATCTTGGCTACAGGCGAGAAGGTATCACTATAATCCAACCCAAAAATCTGAGTGTATCCCTTGGCTACCAAGCGAGCTTTAAAACGACCAATCTTACCATCTGGACCAACCTTCATTGTATAAAGCCAACGACAACCTACTAAAGATTTTCCAATGGGTAGAGGAACCAGTTCCTAGGTACCACTGCTTTGAAGAGCACACATTTCATCAATCATTGCTTGCCTCCACTCAGAGTGAGATAATGCTTCACCTGGAGATTTAAGAATAGAAACAGAAGACAAAGAGGACAAACAAGTATACTGCAAAGGGGAAAGACGATGATAACATAAATCAATATAATGTGGAGAAAGATTTCATGTTTGACGTATACCTTTGCGAAGAGCAATCGGAAGATCAGACTCAGGTTGCAGGATCGACTCCGGTGATGGCGATAGCGTCGAAGGAGAGTCTGCAATGACCTCAGGGACAGGTACGACCTCAGGGACATGTACAACCTCAGGGACAGGTATGACAGACATTGGTTTACGACGCTGATATGTTTGAAGTGGACGAGAAGTGGGGGGTCAACCGTAGGGATTTCTCGTGGGACAGGTTCCCTAGAATGATGGGGAATAATGGGAAATGGGACGTCCGAAAGAGGTGTGGAAGTACTTTCCTGAAGGGGTTCCGGAGTGACTTGGGTGGACGCAAAATATGGCACAGACTCGAAGAAGGTAACATCGGCCGATATCAGGTATCGTTGCAGAGTGTGTGAGTAGCAACGATAACCCTTTTTGGATCGATGATAACCAAGAAAGACACACTTTAGTGATCGAGCTGATAGTTTATCAAGACCAGGGGAGAGATTATGCACAAAACATGTAGACCCGAAGACTCGAGGAGCATTTGGATGAAGAGGAGAGTTTGGAAACAAGATTGAATGAGGGATTTTATTATTAAGGACAGATGAGGGCATGCGATTTATGAGATAACACGCTGTGAGCACAACATCTCCCCAAAATCTGAGAGGGACATTACCATGGAGAAGTAGAGTCCGAGTGGTTTCTACGAGATGCCGGTTTTTGCGTTCGGCTATCCCGTTTTATTGAGGTGTATGAGGACAAGATGTTTGGTGTAGAATACCATTGGATGACATAAAAGTTTGAAATTGTTGGGATAAATATTCACGAGCATTGTCACTTCTTAAGGTACGAATGGACAAACCAAATTGGGTTCTTATTTCTCGATAAAATTGTTCAAAAATAGAAAATAATTCAGATATGTTTTTCATTAAAAATAGCCACGTGCAACGTGAAAAATCATCAATAAATGTTACAAAATACCTAGACTCAAAAGTAGTCACAATACACGATGGACCCCAAACATCGGAGTGAACTAAAGCAAAAGGAGACGCAACCCGTTTATTGACTCGATCAGGAAAGTGACTACGAGTATGTTTCCCTAATTGACAAGACTCACACTGTAAAGTAGATAATTTAGATAAATTGGGCACCAACTTTTGTAGCTTGGGAAGACTTGGATGACCTAACTGCGCATGTATAATGAGTGGAGAATTTGTGGTGGAGCATGTGGTAGATGACGTAGAGAAGTAGTAGAGGCCTTGAGACTCACATTCGACGCCAATCGTCTGTCCCGAACTTCGATCCTGCAGAATAACATCACTGTTAGTAAAAGTGATAGAACAATTAAGGGAACGAGTTAAACGACTGACTGACAGTAGATTAAATGGGCAATTAGGTACATATAGGACAAAAGTAACAAAGAGAGATGGTAGAATTTGAACAGTACCAATCCCTTGGGATCAGGTTTGAGAACCATTTGCGGCAGTTATACTCGGTAAGAAACCAGAGGTAGAAAGGGAAGAGAAAATATTTTTATTACCGGTAACATGATCAGACGCATCAGAGTCGAGGACCCAAGGACCAAGAGGAGATGATTGAGAGACACAAACAGATGAATTACCAGTGTGTGCAAACGAAGCCGTGGAACCAGAGGTCTGGTTAGTCTGACACCACCTGAGAAAATCCTCGTAGCTTGGCGTAGGGTTCTGAAGAGAAGGTGAAGTCTGCATAGTGTACGACTTTTCGAGAGTACGACTTTCTGTGAGTCGAAAACGAAAGCCGAGGGCGAATCTGGAACCGGAGGAGGAAGGCGATTTTCCAAAAAAAAAATTGTTTTTTCGTGAACAGTAGCGGCGGCGGTGAACAGTAGTCCTCCAAATTTTTTTTTTCGTGGCCTGTGCTTGGCAGAGGTCGCTGGAAAAAAAAAGGTGAGACAAACTGGAATGATGACACGGTTTGCAGAAGAAAATTTCTTACTGGAAGACAGTGGGTCAACCGGGTAAAGCGCGACGAAGAATTGCCTCTTAAAAGGCTCTAGATACCATATTGAATTAGGAGAGATTAAGAGACATTTAGGTTAAACCGTGTGTTATGAAAGCACTACGGAGACTTTATTATATATAGAGAGATTACAACTAATTACACTATATAATCGATGTGAGACTATTCTACATACAAATATCAACAAATACTTTACCAAACCTCTGCCCCTGTATTATCTTCACTTGCTTCATTAACAAGAATCCACTGTGTATTTCAATTGTAGTTTTGATTTTCCTTTCTCGCAGCTTAACTTAATTGCCAATGTTACCGGCAAATAAAACATCAAAAAAATGGTTGTTAACAATGATTTTCATGAATACGTATAATATATTGAGGATGAATATATTGAGGATGATTTTCACTTCATTCGACTATGTTTGGTGCAACACCATCACTTACTCTGAGTTTCTTCTAAAACGTTTTAGGATCTTAATTAGTTCAACTATATTTCCTACCATGAGTTTGAGAGGAATTGTCATGATCATATTTTAGGCCTTTATTTATATTTCATCGTGATATTATCAAACAAAAATATTCAATCCTTTGTTTTCCCAATTATCGGGTGTGCATATACATTTTACTTTACTCTTCATTTAGACGGTGGGTGATGCAATAAAAAACCAACCAATTAACAAGTTCGTGTCCTGAGTCCTTTCAGTGTATGCATTGCAAAGTTTACAATAACAATTAGGGAGAACACAAAGTCATAGCTTTCATGAACGCATTTACAATTTACACGCAATTGCATTATTAACCATCTAATTTTGATCATATAATCCTAAAAAAGACTGTTTAATCTTAATCTCACACACACATATATATATATATATATATATATATATATATATATATATATATATATATATATATAT